CACACACACACACACACACACACACACACACACACACACACACATATATATATATATATATATATATATATATATATATCTATATAGAAAAGATCATGTCAGCCCATGGGCCGATTAAATAGTGTAAGCTCAACAGCCTAGATTGAATTTGGGCTGATCAAGCACACGCACACACACACACACACACACACATACAAAAAGATATATAGGGAATAGAGCATGTCAGCCCATGAGCCGATTAAATAGTGTAAGCCCCACGGCCTAGATTGAATTTGGGCTGATCTAACAGTCATAACTGCATTTCGTAATTGAATTTTAATCTGTTTTTAAAAATCCAAATCATATGAGATTTGGGACGTCCATTCTTCTCATCAAGGCGCACCTAATCAAAGTATTGAAAACATAATTAGTAAAAATAAATTGACCCAAATACCCTAAAAGTTTTAGGGGTATTTTCATCTGTTTAATTTTTGTGAATTATGTTTTTGATAGTTTTATTAGATTCGCCTATTTTTTTAATATTAGACGTGCCAAATTTCAAATGATTTGGATTTGTAGAAAAAAATTAATATCCAAATACAAAATGAAATCGTGACCATTGGATCGGACCAGATTCAATTTGGGCCATTAGGCGTTTTACTGTAGTTGTCAGCTAGCGAGCTAATCTCAGACTCTCCTATACATATATTATAATATATATATATATATATATATCATCATCATCATTTTAGCCTTTTCCCAATTAATCGGGATAGGCTACATGAATCCCGGTTCTCCATTCTACTCTAGTAAAGGCCATATCCTCAGTGAGGCCATAAGTCCCCATATCTTTTCCGACTACTTCCAACGATGTCCTTTTGGGCATACGCCTTGTACTTTTCAGTCCTTCCACTTTAACTAACTCACACCTCCTAATAGGTGTTGTACTTGGTTGGCGCTACATATGGCCAACCCACCACCTAAGTCTACTATCTCTCATTTTGTCGCTTATTGGTGACACACCTAAATTCTCTCAAATAGATTCATTTCGAATTCTATGCTTCTTGTCTTACCACTCATCCATCCCAACATCCTCATCTCCGCTACACTCACTCTATGGGTATATTGTTTATTGTCCGCCTAACATTCTGTCCCATAGAGCAAAGTCGGTCCCACCATTGTCCTATAGAACTTGCCCTTCAGCCTCATTAGTATGCGGAGGTCACATAAAATTCCAATTGCACATCTCCACTTCGCCCACCCAGCTCTAATTCTGTATGCAACATCTTCCTTGATCTCTCCATTTTCCTAGATTCTCGACTCAAGATATTGAAAGTGGGGTCTTTTTTGTACTTTCTGGCCATCAATCTTGACTACTTCCTCGACTCTACTCCTATAGTCCTATTATTACTAAACTTGCACTCCATATACTCTATCTTAGTCTGATTAATTTTAAAAACCTTTGGATTCTAGAGCATCCCTCCAAAGTTCTTTGTGTTGACACCGTTTCAGGCAGTGTTCGTAAAATCGAACCGGAACGGTTAACCGGACATGGCCAGAAGCGGTTTAACCGGCCTAACCAGTAAAGCAGCCGATTCAACTGTTCTAACCAGGCAAGTCCCAGGTGCCAAAAAATTGTTGAAAAAAATAAAAAACATGCAAAAAAATTCTACTAAAATATGAAAAACATATAAAGAATGATTAAAACAAAACCCATTCAAATGAAGTTGAAAATTAATGAAAAATAGATTTTAAAAGTGAGTATTAATGACCAAAATAATTTTTAATATTTGCCATAATGTAAAAAATATTAAAAGATGTATTATGAATCAAATTCCTTATTTTTTGGGATTTTATAGACATTTTTTTGAATTTTTATTTTTAAAATACTGAGTTATCACCAAAACCGCTCGAAACCGGAACTGGCAAGGGGCCGGTTCCGATCTAACCGGGAGATTACCGGTTAGATCGGGAAGTCTTTCAAACAATGGTTTCAGGTCTCATCAATCAAAACCATGTCATCTGCAAACAATATGCACCACGGTACCTCATCTTGTAAGTAATCAGTTAAGTCGTCTATAATTAAGACAAAGAGGTATGAGCCCAATGCAAACATTTGATGTAGACCTATTATCACTGAAAACCTATAATCACTAAAAGCTCGCTCATCTCTCCACTAGTTGTTCGTACACTACTTAGCACTCCATTGTACATATCTCTCACCAAGTTGATGAAGTGTCTAGAGACGCCTTTCTTTTCCAACACCCGCCAAATTAAATATCGAGGTACTCTATCATAAGCTTTGTATAGATCAATAAAGACCATGTGGAGGTCTTCTCCCTTCGCCCTAAACTTCTCAATCAGTTGCCTAAGTACGAAAATAGCCTCAACTTTTGACCTTCCTGGCATAAAATTAAATTGGTTTTCAGATACAGTCGTTTCATGCCTTCGTCGTTGCTTAATGATTCTCTCCAATATTTGCTTATAAACTTGATTCCCCGATAGTTTGCACAATTTTGTATGTCTCCTTTATTCTGGTAAATAGGTACCACAATTCTTTTCCTCCATTCGTCTGCTATTTTCTTTGTTCTCAACACCTTGTTGAATAGCTACAACAGCCAGTCAATGCCAATTTTCTCCCATGAACTTTCAAACCTCTATCGGGATACCATCTAGTTCTAAAGCATTTCCTATCTTCATTTTTTCAAAGCTTCTTTCACTTCCGACATCCTAATCCTACAAATGTATCTATGACCTATGTCATCACTTGTACCAACAGACCCTTCTACCACTAGGTCTCCATTGTGTTCGTCATTTAATAATTTTAAAAAATAGATTCTCCACTTTTCGTTGACCTCATCATCCTTCACCAAGACCCTTTGATCCTCACTCTTAATGCATTTAATATGATTTAGACCCCTACACTTTTTCTCTCTTATTTTCAGCTTTTTCACCTTCTCTTGTTCCCAATATATATATATATATATATATATGGGCAATGATTTCATGCAACTGTTGTAGAGTAATATGATGCAACAACCTT